ATTAGATCTAAAGCGGTGACTATTGACGACTATTCGTCACTATTCGCCACTTTTCGCGACTGTTCGCCACTATTCGCACTATTCGCGACTATTCGCTATTCGGGTTTCCCAGACACCCGAAGGCGATGGTGCATTTTGCAAAAAATTCAAACTTCTAGTCGATAGATTTCCTTCATTTTTTCGCTAAACCGGCGTAAAAAATCGGTAGGGAAAATGGTCAATCGAAAGAAAAATAGGGGTCACCGAACGTCCAAGATCGTTAAATCCAGGAAAAGCTATAGCAATGGCCATCAGCCCTATATATCATTGTTCATTTTATTACTTAGCGCGCGCGCTCATGCTTGACCTGGTGTGTGAATTTGCGTGCGCAGTAAGGATGCGCAGAAACAATTAGCGCGAACTTCCTTAATACAATACCTTTTGTAACCCAGTGCGACACGGTGTAAGATTTAAAGATTGCTCATAGCACAATGTCCAGTCAGTCAATGCATCAATCTGGAATAATCTACTTAGCTTTAAACGACAACGATGAACAATGTTAAAGGAGTCTAAGCTGAGCTTTTGGAAGTAACAAAAAGCTTTAGGAAGCGTAACTGGGTTGCATTTATTATAGTAAATATTTCAGAATTGGAAAAAGGAAATGGTAAATTGTATATGTTGCATGGAAACCTAGATATTGCAATGGTATATCTTAGGTTCAGTTAAATAATGTAATACATAGTGAAAATTCTGCATAATAGAAGATAGAAAAATATGAAAGAATCAAGGAAAAGCTGAAGGTTTTGTTAATGTTGATGTGTTAAACTCAAGCAGTTACCTTTCTCATTTTTGTACTTGTTGTTTAGGCAAAATGACTGCCTCCATTGTAAATGTGGAATTTTAAGGCGTACAACGATTTCACATAAAAGAGTCTGCATACGAATTAAGCGGCCCATCAAGACTATGGTTATTTTTGGTTTACTTCTGTAGCATGGAGCAACCAGGAGTATTTCTACTCCCTTCCCCCCACCACCAACAACAGCAGTAAACTTTGGACTTAAGCTGGCTAACAGCAACATATTTAGAAGAAATAAACTGATCATATCGAGATCTCAATTGTTTTTCTGATTCTTTATTAATGTAACTTTCTTCAGTAAGAGAAAACTGTGTACCTTTCATCGCACTGTCATCGCCACTGACCATATTGTTACTCACTTCGAATAAATATTTCACGGGCACATTGGCCGTCATATTTCGCCTTAATGTCAATTCCTTTGCTAAGTTCCACAACTATGACTGTAAACAGTGCGCTAAATTATACTAGGCTTCGAACAAGTTCAAAGTACAACCAATAAAATTCATAATTACATGTAATGAAACACGAGACAAAGCAGCAAATTACCAGGGAAAACATTTAAAATCTCACTTCAACCGAGTGTTCCTGCATCATGGCTCCAATGACTTCCTTCATGTTATCTGGTTTCAGTTTCTTCCGGAAGGTATCGTTGCTTATATCAGGCATTGGCTTGAAACAATCACTGTAACTCTCCGATTCCGCATTTCTTGAATTCATCTGTGTAGCTAAATAGCCCCAGATAAAAGCATCAACTGAAGTCACTCGGAAGGTTTCACTCTAAAGGTTTCCAATATAAACCCTTCCAGTCGACCAACAGTACTGGATAACAGTCGAAATAAGTTCACTCTGAATGCACTTGTTTCACTGAAGTTTCCAATCTAAAAACTGGCAGCACAAACAGTCTTCTGATCGACCAAGAATAGATTCTTCTAACATTCTAAAGACGCGGGGGAAACAAAGCACACACGCAATGTCTTCTGGGTAGCGATTGCGCAATTTAACCATTTTTGAGTTATTTTTTTTTCAAGTTATTTTTTTGTGACAAAAATACCTCATAATCGGCGCGCCGGGGTATGTTATGGACGGGTCAATGGATGAGTGAGTGAGAGATGTATGTATGTCACACTAATCAGATTGGATCTACTATAGACAGCCAATCAAATTTCTTGTTGTAAAAGTAAATGGTATGTGAGAAGATTTGATCCCGATACAGTTCAGAACGGCCATATTAATTCTTCTATAAAAGAGGAGGAAGTATTCATATATTGGGCTTACTTCGACATTTTCTGTGGGTTAGGTTGAGGATTTTGTGGGCGCGTTTGATAATCATTTGCAACTGGATAATCAGTCAAAGAAACATAGTGTTTGGCATATAACTACGAGCATG